GAGCACACTGTCTAAAATGTTTTACATATTGTCTTTTTTTTTTTTTTAACTTTCAGGATACTGAAATATTTTTAAAGACTTCTACAGAATTAGCATGGATCTGTTTATTAAGCCCAAGACAGGAAAGATAACTTTTGATGATGCAGTATTGCAGAGCAAACTTATTCTTTGGTTTTCTCTTTAACTATAGCAGTATCATGTATTTTTTATTTTGTTTGATTTTTGTTTTCCTACAGGGAGAGCTTGTATATGTGAACTATGCTCGTACTGAAGACTTTTTCAAACTAGAAAGAGAGATGAATATCAACTGCACTGGAAAAATTGTTATTGCAAGATATGGGAAAATCTTCAGAGGAAATAAAGTATTGTGTTATTTGCTTTTCTAGAGGGAAAAAGACAGGATATAACCTGTGAATATAAATGATCAGCTTGCATTATGGTTTCCAAAATTGCTTTATATATATATATATATATATATATATATATACACACACACATATAAACAAACACAAAAATATATATATATATGTAAATTTGCTATTTTCATGGTTGCACAGATAATCCTGGTTTATTTTTGAGTTTTTTTGTTTGTTTTTTTGCTACGTCACATATCTAGAAAGGGAAATTATTCTTAATAGTTTTATTACTAAAGCATGTTATTTTTTATTTAATTGAAGAAATTCTATATAACCTAAAAAATGAAAGTCTCCCATGTATTACTCAATTTCATTGCCCAGACATAATCAATCTTAACAGGTCTTTCCAGGCCTATGAAATATGAATATATTATATGAATATAAGTATTCTCCATATACTCATATTACATAATTTTTTTTTTTTACAAAGAGGGCATTAGATACTATATATTGTATAACTTTATTTTTTCTCTCAATAATAACTCAAGGGTATTCTTCCATGTCAACACATTGAGAGCTGTATAATAAAGTGGTTAAGAGTATAGGTAGCTAGATCCATACAACCTGGGTTCTGATCTGGTCTGGGCCCCCTATTCTCTAGATCTTTTCCTGTGAGCAAGTTAGTTAACCTCTCTGTGCCAGTGTTTCCTCATATATGAAATAGGAGTGCTAATAATAACACTAATCTCTTAGAATCCACAGTAGGATTAATCGACTTTAGGTTTGAAAGCGCTTAGGATAGTTACCGGTACGTAGTAATTTCTTGGTAACTGCTTATCAAGTAAATACCTCATTACTTTAGATGGCTATATAGTATTTCACAGAATTGATAAGCAGTTTATTTAACCATTGCTCTGTTGACAGATCCTTGGCTTGTCTTAAATTTGTTACTATTACAAATAATTATATTGTTGGCATCTTTGTCCATATGTACTTGAACATTCGTGTGAAGATTTTTGTAATATAGATTCATTCCTAGAAGTTGAATGACTAAATCATAATGCACAGTTGACTCTTGAGCAACACAGATTTGAACTGCATGGGTCCACATATACGTGGATATTTTTCAATAATAAGTAGTACAATACTACATGGTTGGACGTTAGTTAAACCCGCGGATGCAGAGGAATGGCGGATACAGAGGGCCAACTATAAGTTATTCTTGGATTAACCCTGCATTGTTCAAGGGTCAATTGTATATTATTTCAAAAGTTTGATGGGCATCATTGAGTTGTGCCAGATTTCACTCTTTCTAATATTATAAAAGAGTGCTTTCTGAATACTGGAAAGTGTTTAAGTTGACTGATAGTTATCTATCTTTCGCTATAATACTTCTGGTAATAAAGAATTCAGTATCTTACAGGAGAGATTTTCCTATTTGTGGTCAGTTTGAATTGTTAGAAAAAATGTTTACAAAACACTATGGGCAATGTTTCACACACTATGTTTTGTGTAGAATTTTATGTTTTATGTTATGTTATTTATTTTTTGACCACATGGCATGGCTTGTGGTATCTTAGCTCCCCAACCAGGGATTGAACCTGGGCCCTCTGCAGTGAGACTGCAGAGTGTTAACAGTGGACCGCCAGGGACTTCACCTGTGTAGAATTTTAAATTAGTTTAGCTCCACAAATATTTACATCATGCTTACTCTATGATGTACTAAATGTTGGAGGGTAGATAGTTAAAAATGAGTAAGACAGGGTCCCATTCTCAAAGACAGCCTCAATGTAGTAGGGGAGAAAGATGTTTAAAACGTATTTTATAATGCTTTAATCCATCTTGTAATATAATTATATGCAAAATATAGAAGACGTACCAAGAAGGGAGACATTAAGTTTGCAGTTTTAGTGATAATAGGAATGCTTCACAGAAAAGGCAATAACTTGTTTGGAGTTATGTTGAATAATGAGAGTTGTTAAGTCTACCAAGACAGAAATTGTATTCAAGGCAAAGAGAACTGAATGTGTAACAGTGTGATGATAAAAGTGTGTAAATTTCCTTATGTCATTAAATTGATTTGTTCTTAGATTTGTAAATCAGTCATTTTCCATTTCTACATTATGGATTGCACATTGCCCCTGTAGGTTAAAAATGCCATGTTAGCAAGAGCCAAAGGAATCATCTTGTACTCAGATCCAGCTGACTACTCTGCCCCTGGGGTACAGCCATACCCAAAAGGATGGAACCTTCCTGGAACTGCAGCCCAGAGAGGGAATGTGTTAAACTTGAATGGTGCTGGTGACCCGCTCACTCCAGGCTATCCAGCTAAAGGTAATAGATAAGCCTGTTATGGTCCACTCATTTTTGCAAAAATATTACTTGCCCTTATAGAAGGCATAAAAGCAAGCAAGCATCTATAGAATAACATTAAAACTATGTGCAATTATATTTTGGATTGCTATTGCTAGGAATTCAAAAGCATTTCCCTTTTATTTCAGTTTTAAATTTTCATGAAGTGAGGACATGGAGAGGGGAAGGGGTCAGTTCAATTCTCTCTCTACCTTTAGTAGAGGTTCAGAAACACAGATTCTTATGTCCAAAGTAATATTACTCTTACCAAACCAGAACTTAGGGTTTCTGAATTGTCTAACGATTTTATTCTTCTGTAGATCATGTATTTCTATTTTTAAAAATACCAATGGGTTTTTTGTGTTATTTAATATGTGAAATGTGAAAAGTTTTGACATCTGCATAACCATATCCACAATCAAGATAATGAACATATCCATTAACCAAAAAAGTTTCCTCTCATCTTTTTGTAAAGCCTTCCTCTCAACCCTACCCCCTCCCTGCCAATCCCTAGGAAATCATTGATTTGCTTTCTGTCAGTACAGTTATTTTGAGATTCATTTATGTTGATGTCTGTGTCAGTATTTCATTTCTTTTTTTTTTTTTGATGAATGGTATTCCATTGAATGGATACTCTACAGTTTGTTTATTCATTTACTTTTTGTTGGAAATTTGGATTGCTTTAAGTTTTGGAGATAGTACACATAAAGCTGCTATGAACAGTTGTATGCAAGTCTTTATATGTACATATGTTTTTATTTCTCTTGAG